TTCATTTGAGAAAACTACCGTCATATCACATACACAGCAGCTGCATGTTCTTCACGACAACCCGTCAAAATAAAAGTTTAGTTTAACGTTAAGAAACTGTCAGAATATATTACTATTTAGCAGTCTTAAGAATCAATGCTACTACTGCTAATAAATATTAATACATCTTTATTTTTAAAGAAATAATCACATCTGTTTTATTTTTAATTTTAACAGTAAACCTCTGTTGTGCAGCACTTTGCTTGCCCAAAAATAAAAGGGTTTAATTTTCATTTGATTAGGATAAATTAAATTAATATTTTATGCCTTTATCTGATTACCAGAAAAATTAAGAACATTTTATAGGGCCCTATTATTGTTTAAAAAAAGGACCCATACAAAAAAAAGTATAGGTTTAAAATACAGGCATGTGGCTTAATTTCTTTTTATTAATTCACCATTTGTAAACTGATGTTTACTGTTCATTTTTTAAAAAAAAAAAAGAATAGGTTTAAAATACAGGCATGTGGTTCTTAATTTCTTTTTATTAATTCACCATTTGTAAACTGACGTTTACTGTTAATTTTTTTAGAAATATCAATAGCATTTGTATTACAACTATATTCACTGAATGTAATAAAAAAAATTTGAGAATCGAATCGAGAGCTTGCGAATCGAATCGGGATATCAGAAACGATACCCAGCCCTACTTTGTGGTAGACAAACACTTAAGTAAAATTTAAAAAATACATCAAAACACAATTATAACCAGTAGACAGCAGCAGAGGAGCACTTATTGGCTTGTTAGTCATTAATTTATACTTTTTCTCTATATTGTTTTGTAATTATAAAATCACTATTATAAAATATCAAATCATCAAGAAATCAGATTGTCAGAATTTTACACTTTGTGTATGAAGTAAGAAAAGTCACAAAGTGCCTTGAAAAAAAACTTTTCTTCAATTTGCTACTAAATCACACATAATCACTGAAGTTGGTCAGTTCCATATACTAGAAGAATAATGGTACATTTATTAAGAGTGGAATATATAAATTTTCTATATAAAAATTAGATTTTGCACTTGTTACTGTTGTTAATAAAAGTACATTTTGTATGCATCTTAACTCAAGCTTTGTGCTTTACTGTCAAATCTGAATAAACAATAAACAAAAGAAAAATAAACAAGAAATGAACATGAAATATTATTAGTAATTGCACTTGCAAAACAATAATAATTTTATTATTAAATGATCTATATTTTAATACTCCCACACACCACCCCCAGCGCTACCAAATCTGCTCCTGGCGCCACCATCTGTAGAACTTAGTGGCGCTGGTGCCACTGCTCTCAAATGTTAGTCTGGAGCCCTGAGATAAAACATTTCTTTCTGCATTTTACTCATCTACAGCGATAGCTGGATGCCTACAAGGATTCCCCGGAATGTCATAAGTTCTTTTACTCCTATGAGTCTCGCTTGTGGACTATCTGAGCGAGGGCACCCTCCTGCGTCGAGTTTGAATGAAACAAAATTACATGTGAGAGTTTAGCGCTCCATAATGGTGCTGACGCTGGATTATTATGTCATATTGTCCTATGTGTACTATTCATTTTTAAATATCGCCAATATTGTATATTGCAACACCCCTAATTAACACGATATTAACAATATTTCATTACCCCTAACTTCAATAGTATGAAAAAAAATACTACGGAAGTCAATGGCTACCGTCAACTGTTTGGTTATAAACATTCTTTAAAAGTTTCTTTTGTGTTTAGCAGAAGAAAGAAACTCATACAAGTTTGGAACAAGTGGAGGGTGAGTAAATGACAAAATGTTCATTTTTGAATGAACTATCCCTTTAAGTCTAAAGACTGTTAATTTACCTCTCCAAATGTGGCAGGATTAAAAGGCAAAGTGGAAGTACCAACAATGTATTTGGCAGGAGTCTTCAATCTCTGTGCAGCCTATGACACAAAATAACAAAGGGTCAGCCTCTATATTACTTGCATTTTATTATTTGCATTTAGCATCAGAACAGCCCTGAGACCCATTTTGGGTCCTGACACATCAGTTATAATTCAGTAATAACAAATTGAAACACCCCACCTTTTCCTGGATGTAGCTGACCATCTCAGGGAATGACGGCATGGGCCTTGATCCCTCTTTCTCTGTCTTCGTAGAGGGGAGAGACCGAAGGGTTCGCCGAGCCTCCCCAGACACCTCCTCACGACTAAAAACACAGGCCATATGATGTACACCTTTCATGACAACGCTTAATTGAAAACTTGAAAGAACTCCAGGAAGTGTAAGTATATACTCACGGATCTCCTGCAGCCAGCAGTAAGAGATATCTAGAGGCTACGTGATCAGGAGCAAACACTGTGATGGCAAATTTCATCGCTATCTGACGCACCTGTACCTCCGGCTAACACAAAACCATAAGCAACAAAACATTACACACTGTAAATTACTTTTACTTTATATTTAATCTTAAACTTAATGATACAACAAGGTATTTAACCCAACTTTGAGTCTAAGCGTGTAATTTCATATTTAACGTTGAGACGTTTATTCTTTCTAGATGCTTGCAATAATAATAGCAAACCTTTGTGATATATGCAGCCACAAGTGCGTCCATTAGGTTCAGAAGCGCCCCTTGAAGATTTACATACGCTCCCACCATCATTGACAAGGCCTCCTGTATGGCCAATCGTACATCAGCATCCTCCTGTTTTCATTGAGAGAAACTAGGTTAAGATTTTACAACAGGTCATGCAGTAATAACTGGATAACTACCGTACAAAATGAATATTAAACAAACCTTGCACATGGACTCAAAAAACTGCTGTACCAATGCAATGTCTTTTGTGAAAAGCTGAGGCATTCGACTATTATAGCAAAGAGGAAAAAAGGAATATACACATTTTACACATCTTAATTCATATGAATTTTTAGTTATATAAAATAACATTTAAATGAATAATAAAAAAAATAATAAATAATAAAATATATTGTTTGCTCAGATATATTATTTTAGCTTGTTATAAAAGGTTTATATTACCTTGAAAGTTTTCCAACAGCAGAGTAGGCCATACATAGTAGTTTGGGGTCCTTATAATAAAATAATACATTAATGTCACTTTGACAGATACTTCTGAAAAACACTAAATTTGACTTACAACTAAATCCTAGATTGTTTAGCATGGGTTTATACCTCTTTATATTCATTAATAAGCTTGGTAAGTCCATTCAGCAGCATCAAACCCAAAGGTTTGTTGCTATCAGGGCACCTTCAGATTAAAACACAATTATTATTACCTCAGACAGACCATCTGATGCAAATGCACACAAAATAAACTACTGGATTCATACATGGCTACAACATTGGAAGCTATCAAAAATGTTTTGTATTGTAGTAAATCATGTGATTTTCCATGTGATTTGCTAGTGATCATTGACACTTACACCATACAGATATGATGTACAAACTGCAGAGTGAGGGACAGGAGTTTGTTGTTGGTGTTTGCTCCAAAAAGTCCATCATAAACAACCTAAACAAAGAGACAATCACCGTTACGATGATCCTTTGAACAAGTTCTGGCTTACTGCTTGCCTGCCTCTGTTTGTCTCTCTTTCAACATGCATCTCAGCTGCATTCACTTTCTTTCTGTCAAACATTCTCTTTCTGACCTGTATATTAGCAGGAAAGCACTCAGCAGCCAGTCTGGAGCGGAGAAGATGAGGCAGAATCTTCATCTTGACTCTGGTGCTGACGGGCTCATGCTTCAGTTCCTGTTTCACTGTGGCACCCTGAGTAAAAACACAAACACACACACACCTTATGTAGTGTATGTCACTGAATATGATAGTAATAACGGTATTAGACCGACCATGTGTAATGCATATACTTACTTTAGTTTTGAGTGGAATATCACCCAGGTAAACTTTATACATTTTGTTGATAATGAGTGGATTGTTCCAGTCAATAATGCTGCAGTACAAAACACGACAAGAGATGAGTTTCAAAATAAAGACCTCGTGGTTTAATTTGACATCATCACAGAGAGCCTCACCTCTGCTTGCTTTTGAGTTCCAGATCAGCTGCTGTGGCGACACTGTGCCTGGTGTCACTTGAAGCCACAACTAAGTGAATGACTGTTTCAACCTCAGGCACCTGCTCTGCCTCTATGAACTTCACAATTCCCAGTTTACACTGCAAACACAATGATGTAGCGGTTACTCAGTGAAGAGTCAGAAAGAATCAACACAGAAAGAGTAAAGCGGTTATTCCAATTCATTCATTCTCTAAACAATTATTGGTGTAGATGGAACTGAGGCGAAACATCTCCCATTAAAAACAGCAAATATCCTCCAACACATTTTCTTAGCAACCTCACCTGTTCCAGTTGCTCTGGGCTCCACTGAGCTTCTCCAATGACTCTTTTAACCGCATAAACACTCATTCCTGGAGGAGGCTGAGGGAGACCTTGTGCTGCCGCGGCTCCTGTTCCAGATCCCCCTTGTGGAGACGAAGGGGCCGGACGACTTGGAGGCTCATTTAACACAAACCTTGATATAATTTGAGAGACAGAGTTAATGAGATTACAGCATTACCATTACCAACTACAACCTATTGTACACATCTACTTGACATACCCATAAGGCATCAGAAGAACATCAAGCATGAACTCTAAGAGCAGTTGTACAGTTTTGGGTCTCTCCGTCAGGACAAATGGGGAAGCTTTAGATGGCTCTGATGGATATTTCATATGATACAGTGTAGGGATCAGCAGGTGCATTAGACTAGAGAGAGAAGAGACAGACTACATCAATACTGTTCAGTACTGACATATTTGCAATAACAACAGATATTTAAAAAATATATATATACCTGTATATATAAATATATAAATATGCATATACTACAATTCAAAAGTTTTTTTTAAGAAATGATTGCTTTTATTCAATTTGTTTTACTTCAATATTATTTTTGAAACAATGCAAAAGTTCTATTTCAAATAAATGCTGCTATTTTGAACTTTCTAATCATTAAAGAATCCAGAAAAAAAAATGTATCACATTTTCCACAAAACAATATTAAGTAGCACATGTTTTCACTATTGATGATAATAATAAGAAATGTTTCTTGAGCAGCAAATCAGCATATTAGAATGATTTCTGAAGGATCATGTGACACTGAAGACAGGAGTAATGATGATGAAAATTCAGCTTTACATCACAGGAACAAATTACATTTTTCAATAGATAAAAATAGAAAACTGTCATTATAAATTGTAATAATATTTCACAATATTACTGTTTCTAATGCACTTTTGGTCAATTAAATGGAGCTGGAAGAACAAAATTCTCATGGATTTACAGCGTCTGGAGAACTTGGAAATGTGGCTTTCACAGAAACATGTACTCCTGTGCCTGGCACATTGCGCTGAATATTAAACAATGATTTCAGCAGACAAAAGGTTTCCTTAGAAATGGTTCACAGTCCATCTGGGGGAGCCGTGATGACTAACACCAGCTTTTGTGCAGCCAGAGAACTAGAAGAAACTGTACAAGAGCTAAATGTTCAGAACTTCACTTCAAGTGCTTCTAGGAAAGATCCTCACCCTGTGAAAGTCGTGAATGATGTCAGCTGGGTCACTGCTTCCAAAGTCTGGCACAGGCACGCTGATCTGCTCATAGTTGTCATCCAGGTAGATACCGACGTTCTCCTCTAGCTCCTGCCTTCCGAGTAATGGGGCGAACAGGGGGTCCTCGTACATCACCCGACAGTGGAACAAACTGTCCTCTGGGATCTGGGGAAAGAAAGCAGAGGGCTTCAAAAGAGGGCACTTGAACTTGTTTAGTGAGTAAAAGATCCAGCAAGGTGTTGCTATGGTGATCGCTATGGCAATGAGCTTTAATAAGCTTGTTTGTGAATAAAAGATGATTAACAGATCCATTGACGTCTAGCGTCTCACCTGGGGGCTGAAGTAGTAGCGGTACAGGCATACAGATGCCAGGATCAAGCCTGACAGGAAGATCACCAAGCCAGGCACGACGCACCAAAGGCCACTAAAGGAAGACTTCTTAGATCTAACCGGGAGCACCAACTCATCCTGCTGGGAAACAAAACAACTTCAATTAGTTTTGTGAATTCAAAGCACTTGGGATAGTTTTCACTGGCTGGACTGATTCACATTTGACAAATGCTGCATGTTTACTGAATATTTAAAGGGAGAGTCTAAGCAAAAATGAAAATTGTGACCCTGGACCACAAAACCAGTCATAAGGGTCAATTTTTCGAAATTTAGATTTATACATCATCTGAAAGCTGAATAAATAAGCTTTCCACAATAACAATATTTGGTCGAGATACAGCTATTTGAAAATCTGGAATATGAGGGTGCACAAAAATCTAAATATTGAGAAAATCGCCTTTAAAGTTGTCCAAATGAAGTTCTTAGCAATGCATATTACTAATCA